AGATGCCCTTTATCATCACTCCTAGTCAACACTGTGTTGTAAGAAAGGAACATTAAAGAAATCCAAATTAACAAAGAAGTAAACTCTCTAAATTTGCAGTCTTTGAGTCCCAAAGACTCAACAACAAAAAAAAACTATTAGAAATCATCGGAAAATTCATCAGGGTACAAGATCAATAGACAAAAACAGTTGGATTCCTATATATTAATAAAGACAGCTCTGAAGAGGAAATAAGGAAAACAATACCATTTATGATAGCCACCCAGAAGATGAAGTATTTCAGAATAAATCTAACCAGAGAAACAAAAAAATCTATATTAAGAAAACTTCAAAATGCTACTACAAGAAGCCAAAATAAATTTATAAAAATAGAAGAATGTACCATGAAGGTTAGGGAGATGTGTGAACTCCCAAGCCCATGGACACCAACCTAGCCACTGGGGTCTAGAGTTGAGAGTGAAGCGAGCATCTGGTCTAAAGTAAGGGAAGGCATGTGAGAACTCTCAAACTTGCAGATAGCAACTCATTTGAGCTTGCTTGAATGGCTTTCTGACCAGAACTTGACCAAGTAATGATAAAGGAGTTTGATACAGAGAGCAAGTGTAAATTGCTACAACTTGATGAACTGGTCCTTTGCTTATGGATGTAGTAGCTCAAACTTTCATCTGAAAGGAAAGGAGTCTTCACATCAAGGATCAAGTTTGCCTCCTCAAAACAGTGGGTTGACAGGGATGAGCAATTTAGGCATTGGCTATCAAAAGCAGGGGACTATAAAGATTAGCAGCTCAAGCTCACCAGCTGCTCCTCGGAAACCCTATGCAGGGTCACTATGGGTGGGAACCAACTCAACAGCACATAATAACAACAAATAAAGGCACAAAGTATCTGATTTACAAGCTTTCATGAGTGTGCTCAGTTTCAGAAAAGAGGGGTAAGGCAGAGTCAGTTTTCCTCTTGTCCAGATGGCTCTGGTGAAAGGACATGGGGGGTGATGGGGCTAGGACTTTATGATTCAATAGTAATTGTTATCATGAATAATTGTGGTTGTCACAACTGTAAATGTAGAAGATCTGAAACTAAAAGGGGAGAGTAATTAATCTTTCATTTCAGGAACAGAGGACTCTAGGACCATCAAAAGGGAAGAGCATGAGTGGAAAGTGGGATACCAACTAGAAAAGCGGTGACAGCAGAGACAGCGGCAGAGGCAGGAGCATGGAGAGACAGAGCAGCTGAGGACTCTAGGCCCATGGACTGAGAAAGGCTGTGTGCCTGCAGCCTAGAGGCTGGCTTGTAAAATGTGCCTTTTGGACACTTAAAGGAATATATATTTTCTGTATGGTATGTGCACATCAAAAAAAAAAAAAAAAAGGAATAGAGGTAAATATTGTTAACTGATGGTGCATTGAGGGGACTGTAATAATTGTAATGAAACAGAATATGATTTATTGAATGTAAAACTGATTATCTGCCCTGTAGCCTTTCACTCAATTCACACTAAAAACTTTAAACAGAAAAGAAAGGAATACCTATAATGCAAAACCTAATACAATAAAGATCAGCAAAGAAAAAATAGGGTCAAATTTAGGGGTCCTAATACATGGCAAAAATATACTATCAAACATATATTTTAATGCACAGACAGTATAAGATAAACTAGATGACTGGGATCTCCTAAAAATTGAAATTTGTACTCATCAAAAGACTTTACCACAAGGCTGAAAACAGAATCCACAGAATGGGAAAATACAAGGGTGAGTCCAAAATTATCCATACTCCAGTTATATTAAAGCATCCATTCATGTCCACTGCTGATGACAACATTGAGTTTGCACATGAAATGATTCTATCAAATAGATACGTGACCGTGGATTATATGGCAAATCATTTGCAAATCACAACTCATGGAAGAGCATAAACAGAAGCTTTTGGACATCAGCAAACAAAATTGGAACTGATACCCAAAGGAAGGAAAAAGTTTCTTTAAACAAACCCTTACTGGTGATGAGACACAGAATCATCACTAGGAGCCTGAGAGTAAACAACAGAATATGGAAAGGAAACATCTGCAATTGCCAACCAAGAAAAAGTTCAAAATTAATGCTTACAGTTTTCTAGAATTCTCAGGGGTCAGTAGTGAGACACTATCAGGAAATATGTTCAACAATCTATAGTGCTCATTACAGAGAGATGCTCATTGAAGAGCTTAAACTTAACCTTTGGATTAAACCCAGAGGACTGTTACCCAAGGATGTTGTTACTTGACATTGTGACATGGCAATGCAGGTCCACATACCTCTGTCCACACTGTTGACACTCCACAAAAACTTTGCTTTGGGGTGTTGAAGCATTTTCTCTATAGTCTTAATCTTGCTCCAGGACTATAGGGAAGTAGCCTTTCAAGGATGAAGATTCACTTCTGATGAAGAAGTGAAGACAGAAGTGCATTCGTGGCTCACAGCTCAGCCTAATACATTTTTTAATAAGGCAATATGAAAGCTTGCTGCTAAATGCACAAAGTGTATTGAAAAGTGAGAAGATTATGTAAAAAAATGATGTATTTGTTTTTACTAAAAGTTGATTAAAATAAATTCCACAGCCAGAGTGAGGATAAATTTTGACTCACCATCATATTTTTAGCAATGACTTATTAGATAAGGGACTAATTTAAAATTTACAGACAATACTAACACATCAATATCAAAAAGACAATCTAATTAAACATTGGAGAAAGGACATGAACAAACCCTTCATCAAAGAACACATTCAGGCAGATGTGGAAAGTAAACAACACACATGTTATTATTGTTGTTGTTGTTGTTAAGTGCCGTCGAGTCGGTTCCGACCCATAGCGACCCTGTACAGGGTTTCCGAGGGTGTAAATCTTTACGGGAGTAGAAAGCCTCCATCTTTCTCCCGCGGAGCGGCTGGTAGTTTCGAACCGCTGACCATAAGGTTCGCAACCCAATTCGTAACCACTACGCTACCAGAGCTCCTTTGTTAAGTGCCATCAAGTTAGTTCCACTCTGTATAGGGTTTCGGAGGCTTTAAATATTTGAGGGAGCAGAAAGCCTCATCTTTCTCCCTCAGAACAGCTGGTGGGCTCAAACTGTGGACCTTGTGGTTGGCAAGCCAGTGTTTGTCACATGCATCCACAGCTCTCCACTTCCATATATGTATATATACACACATATATGTATGTATATATATATATATATATAGAACTCTGGTAGCATAGTGGTTATGAATCGGGCTGTGAACCATAAGGTCAGCAGTTTGAAACTACCAGTTGTTCTGTGGGAGAAAGAAGAGGCTTTCTGCTCTTGTAAAGATTTACAGTCTTGGAAACCCTGTACAGAGTCACTATGAGTCGGAACCGACTCCACAGCACATATCAACAACATATGTATGTATGTTTATAGATATAGATACAGATATAATATAGATATATATACGTATATATGTGTACAGATGTATGTATGTATATATATATTTGACAAAGGCTATTTCCACATACGTATTTACATGTTGGGAACTCCTGATATGGTACTATAGGATCAGTACAGGACTGTGAACCACAAGATTGACCCACCAACTGTTCTTCAGAAACCCTATACAGGGTTGCTGTGAGTCAGAACTGATTCGACGGCACTTTACAATAATATTTATGTGTTTCAAATATATCCATAAATATAGTACAGCATGCAGGGAACAAAGTTATAAACATTTCTTAACCATAACTAAACACCATAATAAACTGAGTCACTAGGCATGGGAGTATAGGACCATTGTCTTGGGGGTCATCAAGATCAATTGGCATAACATAACATAGTTCCATTGTAGCGATGTAGAATAAGCACCGGACTGGTAATTGCAAGGTTGGCAGTTACCAGTTACCAGTCACCAGCCACTCTTTAGAAAACCTATACAGAGTCACTGTGAGTTGGAAATGACTCAAAGGCACTTAAAAACAACAGTCCACAAAGACAATGTTCTACATGCTACTTTGGTGAGTAGTAACTAGGGTCTTCAATGCTTGTGAGTGGTCATCTAAGGTACAACTATTGGTTTCTCTCCATCCAGAGCAAAGAAAAGCAAAGACACATGGCAACAGCCCACAGGATTAATGGGTTATGGGAACACCAGCCTCCATGACCTTGAGAGCAGAGAACTCCCACTGCTGACTGTAAGGGATCCCAACAGGAGATCCTAGATAAAGAGGGAGAACATAGAGAAAACTGAAAATCATTAAGAAAAAAATCAATCAAACAAACAAATAAAGCTTACTAGTTGGCTAGAGACTAGTGGAGCCCCCAAGACTATGGACCTTAGTCACCCCTCAAATCTGGAACCATACTTTTCCCTGTGACTAATTTTTCAGGCAAGCAATAGGCCTGTTGTTGTTTAATGCCATCAAGTCGATTCCAACTGATAGCGACCCTGTATAGGGTTTTCAAAGAGCAGCTGGTGGATTTAAACTGCAGACCTGGTGGTTCTCAGTCCAGTGCTGGGCCTACCGCACAACACCAGCAGTCCAAGCAATATCAACCAGACAAGGTCAAAAGGGCAGCATTGCCTCAGGATATTGCTTAGAAGGCATAAAGGGATAACAGAAAGGGTAAAGGAAAACACATACAAGGCAGAAGTGGGAGGAATGTTGTTACATTGTAAGGACTACAATCAATGTCATGAAACAAAATGTGCCTAAATTGTTGATGGACCAATTTGCTCTGTAAACTTTCACCCAAATTACAACAAAAAGCTAAAAGAAATCAATCAATAAATAGATATATTGCTTTTTTAAACTGTTTAATGTTTAATAGCTTGTGGATGTTTTCCAGTAGCACCAGATAGGTTGATCTTTTTCATAAAAATAATTCATCCTCTATGATATTCTTAGAAATAGAATGTACTATATCACCCTATCATTTCAGTGGATGGGGTAGTTGAAATTATCTTTATTTCCAAGTTTTTAATAAGTTTTCCATCAAATATATACTTACACTGTGGAAATAATCTGGTCTGTACAATCTGGGAAAGAGGACCTATTTCCAGGGGAACCATCAGTATCCAATGTCTGGAAGACCTGCGTGCAGGAAAGGATGGCTTCGGAGAGCTGGGCCTCGATTTCCAGCCAGCCCGGTGATTCTCCAGTCATTGAAACTGGCATACTTGTGAGTCCAATAATGACCTCTTGTAAAATATGATCCTTAACAGAAACAGAGAACACGACTAAGAAAGATTGACTGTTTTTAATTATGTATACATTATTAGTTCAAATTTATTTATTTATTTTTTGGTCATGACTGGTATTTTTGTCATGACATATGTCACCAGTTTTAACACCTCACAGGTTTGGGTTTTATTTTAGGTATATTCTTATCTGGTGAAGCATGATACATAATGAAAAAGACAAAAAATAAACATAATTCTGAGAGAAAAAAAGAACCACGTAAAACCTTAAAAATGAGCCCATTGGTGCTCTTGGATGAGATCACATGGTGTAATACTTACAGCAGCTTCTATTGAATGAATTAGCTTATTTAAAGTATTGGTTCCATTGGAGATATTTAGTTGACAGAGCACTGCTATGAAGCTCTCCCAAATTCTAGAGCTCTGAGGAAGTGAGAGAGTCTCCTTCTCAACCAAGGTACCATTTAGACATGTATCAGTTGAATTATTCTTCAGGATCTAAAAGAGTAATGCATATCAGAAGGAGATAAAATTTACATAAATGTAGGTATACTCTCCAAGGAATTCAGAAACAAAACATGAATTTCTTCAAAAACTTGCCAATTCTTGGGATTTTGCTAGCTCAATTCACAAGAGCAAAAGTGAATATCACATTATATCCTTGAATGTATTATTTTAAAAATATCTTATTTATGATCTCTTATTAGGGTTTACCTGCTTTAACTCCCAAAAGACCATGTCCATTTCCAGTTTTAATTGATCAGATCCATCCAGGCTGGAATAGTTAGCTGATGTCTCCAGGTGAATGAGGACTTCTGTAAGATTGACAAATCGATGTGTTATTCACCTAATACTGGCGATTCCAGGTTTCACCGCCACACTAGATCATAAAGCAATCTATGGACTTCTGAAATTGTTGTCTGTTTTCATACATACCACGTTTCTGACAGAGGAAAAATTGGGGGAAGTATTTTACTATAATTTTATACTCCCATGAAAGACTACTGAGTATGAAGTCTTAGTTGCTGGAGACTCTTACTTCAAAACCAGCATCCCTCATTTGTTCTCTCTTCATTCAGAGAATATGGAAAGCTCCTGCTTATTTGGACAAAAGTATAAATTTGCTAGTGACTACCTCGAATGACAACCACATGTCTGTCAGTTTGTTGTACTGTGGTGGCTTGTGAGTTGCTGTGATTCTGGGAGCTATGCCACTGGTATTTTAAATACCAGCAGGGTTAGCCATGGTGGACAGGTTGTAGATGAGCTTCCAGATGAAGACACACTAGGAAGAAGGAGTGACAAACTACTTTCGAATATTTATTCACTGAAAACCTTATGAATAGCAGAGAAACACTGTCAAATATAGTGCTAGAAAATGAGCGCCTCCGGTTGGAAGGTACTCAAAATGCAACTGGGGAAGAGCTGCCTCCTCAAAGTAGAGTTGACTGTGATGATGCGAATGGAGTAAAGGCCATGCTATAAAAGCCCACAGGAACTTCATTTGCTCAAAATGATGAGAAACACCTGTAAACATCCATTAATAACTGGAACACGAAATGTATGAAGTACGAATCTAAGAAAATTAGAAACTGTCAAAAATGAAATGGAACACATAAACATCAATATCTCAGGCACTAGTGAGCTGATTTTGAATCTGACAACCACATAGTTTACTATGCTGGGAATGACAAATTGAAGAAGAATGGAGTTGCATTCATTGTCAAAAAGAACATAAACAAATCAGTCATAAAGTAAAATGCTGTCTGTGACAGTATAATATCCTGGTGTGGTGCTATGGGTTAAAGCGCCAGACTGCAAAGCCATTTGAACTGCAAGGTTGGCAGTTCAAGCTCACCCGCGTCTCCTTGGAAATCCTATACAGGGTCGCTATGAGTCGGAACCGACTCAACAGCACTTAACAACAACATCACAGGGAAGACTAGTTAATATCACTATTATTCAAATTTACACACCAACCACTAAAACCAGTGTGGATAAAATAGAAGAATTCTACCAACTTCTTCAATCAGATATATTGATCATTACTGGTGACTGGAATGCAAAGGTTGGGAACAAAGAAGGATCAGTAGCTGGAAAATATGGCCTTGATAATAGAAATGATGCTGGAGATCGCATGATAGAATTCAGCAAAATCAATGATTTGTTTATTTCAAATAACTTCCTTAGACAGCATAAGAGACGACTATACACATGGATCTCACCAGATGGAATACATAGAAATCAAATTGACTACATCTGTGGAAAGAGGCGATGGAAAAGCTCCATGTCATCAGTCAAAACAAGGCCAGGGGCAGATTGTGGAACAGAC